CGTAGGCAGAGAGGGAGAAGAGGACAACAAACGAGGGGCTGTGACAAACTGTTTCGTCGGAGTTTCACCGACTCATATATATATATATATATATATATATATATATATATAATATATATATATATATCGTATATATATATCTTATGTATATATCGTATGAAAAGATTGTCATGTTTTTTGCCATCTACTTGGGTGCAGATATCCATTATTATTATTATTAGCTATGGCAGCGTGACCGGACTGATCCAGCATCAAGATCATCCAGTGTTCCGAATGAGCCTGTAACTGCCACGCGGCAGGTCGTTTTTTTTTTCTGAGCGAGTGGGTGGGTGTCTTGTGCTTGAGAAGGCCTCCCCAGAGAACTGAAAATTGGGGGAGGGGAGAGGAGGAGGGAGGGCGGGGGGTTCCATTTTGTACTTTTATGTGATTGAATTACTTGATTGATTGGCTTGGCTTGGCTTGGGTTTGATTGATTGATTGATTGATTAATTGATTGATATAACCAACACCCACATTCTTCATCGCTCTCAACTCCGCTGCCTCCGCTGCCTGCCTACCTCATACACATGAATTGCAAATGTTTTTTTCCCACTGTGTTTCAGTGGCACGGCGGCTACTTTTCCATTTTTCCATTCGGGAGACTACTGCTCCGTCAACTGTTTTATGATAGACTATGGATCGCCTTTCAGTGGTGTTCCTGTGTAAATTGTTACCCTGGAATTGTTGCGAACACTTTTTCGTTTGCCAGCGAGCTCTGATTCATATAGATCCTTCAGAGCTTATTCTATATGATCTGGCTTGTGAGACTATTCTATCATAGGCTGCTGGACACTGTAATCTTGGGCGATGTGGAAACCCATTACATTGTTCTAGGCCACGATTTTTGTACTTGTTGCTAGAACTGCTGTCACAACGGCTACATTCCGGGGAGATGGAAGAGGGCGGGGGGTTTACAGCCGTCCCACAACAGCGGTCGGTGTTCATATGCAGTAAACCAACAGGTGAAACAGGTGCAGTATGAAACTCTTATATATGGACAGACTCAGAGAGATCTCATCCTGTGGGAGTGATTCCCCAAGGATGAAAATCATGGAGCTCCATGATATATAACCGATGGGGAGTAACAAGGAGAGGGAATGAGGATTGCATGCACACACCGAGGACAGCGTCTTGCTGGGTGGAAGTAGTTGTGGTCTCGCTTTTTCCAGACATTCCTCTGCCCTTTCTCGTTCTCTCTTCGCTTCACTTAGAAGTCTTCGGTACAGTGGCGGGCACCACAGATGTGAGAACTCCTGCATCTCCTCCGGAAGTTGTGACAGCAACTTGAGAAGGGCCTGTCAATCAAGAACCAAACAGACTACATCTAATTAAGTCAAGTCACCCTTCCTTGGCACTACAAAAACAAGGGGGGGGGGAGGGGGGGGGGGGGGGGGAGGCGGAGAGGGAGAACATCACATAAATGAAAGGATAGAATGAGTAGGGATAGGAGAAAAAAGGCAATCCGAGCATGCAGTAAAACTTAAGATTTGAAATGAATGGTTATACAGAGAAAGCAGACACTGGCTTCCACATCACTGACACAGCAGCTAAAAGCCCAGATGTGATTCATCCCAATGGATGAACCAAGGAAGAAGAAGAGAAACAAAGCAAAAACTCTCTCAAGTGCTCTTCGACCCATAAGGTTGCCACTGCATACTTCGAGCATTCTGTCTCCAACGCATAACACTCGCTGTGCCAAGGGGCTTGCGTCACAGCTTCAGGAAGCACAAAAAGGCAATCCAATCTTGGTCAGACTCGATGTGATCTTGTGCACAGCAAAGTTTTCCATAAGGTGAAAACCGTTTGCATTTCCAGGGGGAATAGGGGAGGCAAAAGGTATCATGAAATTGTATTCACTTCACAGGTAGCATATTTACAAGATCCCTCGACTCAGAGACAAAATAGATCTCCGCAGCCTTGGCCTTCAGGGGTCGCCCCTTTCCTGCAAAATATGATCTTGCAATGTGGGTTGTAAAGTTTGCCAGATAAGAAAAAAGAAGCGTAAGGCTCCCAGGATAACCCCGGGTGGATTGTGAGGTCGCTGGCCTCGTATTTGCCTTTGGAATAAAAAGAATCTTTTTCCTTTAAAAAAAAAGAAAAGTGTATCCACAAGATGAAAGCACAAACAGAAAAGAGCAGAACTATGCAAGCAGCAGCACTCCAAAGACCGCCAGGCAGTGGAAGGATCGCAGAGCTTGAAGCATGTGTTCCCAGTCTTCATACACTGGGTAGACCATGAGAACAGGGAAACAGGATTCAGATGGCAGGCAAGAAGCAGGCAATATTGACAGGTGACACTGAATATATAAGAGAAAAATGATTTCCTCATGAAATTCAAGTTATTAGACACCTGGAACTGTATGAAACAACCATTATCCCAAATTGGGACCTCCAGGATTGTCCTCCTTTAGTGTGGCCCTCTCTCTCTCTCTCTCTCTCTCTCTCTCTCTCTCTCTCTCTCTCTCTCTCTCTCTCTCTCTCTCTCTCTCTCTC